AACCTCATAATAATGATGTTCATCCAGGATCAGCATTGCAGTTGACTACTGTCTGAGTATTCAGTTAGCATTAGCTAAGAAGTAAGCTAAACACAAGTAACCAAAATGTGGCTAACGGACAAACCTAGCTTGGTGGTATATTTGTTGGATAAGGAAAACATTTTAAAATGCCTACTATTTGTTCCAGAAGAGAGGTTTATATAAACAAAAGCATTTTATATATCCATAGATAGATTACTATGATGATGCAGGAACAACACCAACACCAGGACATCAGATACGCCACCAGTGGATCAACCTGTGAGTCAAAGTGGCCATGCTCTTATCTTTAGGCCCTTTTGAAGTGTAAAAGGGTGAATAAATTTTAAGAGGTGAATTAGCTGAAGTGACTCATTCTGTTTTTAGCTTAGGGGTCTTATTCTTATGTGTATTGACTCTCTCTTGGAGCAAGTCACCACTTCAGTTCTTGGCACTGCCACTCTGGGTTGATTTCTCTGCTCTGGGACACATAAGTATCTTTGACAGTGCCACAAATGTTGTTGCTTTTTTAATTTTGTTTTTAGTTTTAATTTTGGACATTTCTCTCACCCAGAACAAACCAAAGGAATACATTTGACACCGTGTGATTGATGGCTACAACTGAGTGTGAATGCACCCCAAGACATGATGGATGAATAAAGCATTTTTTGGTGGGGGGAAGATTTCCTGTGGTTGAGTGCTGCCACAGCTGAATGGCCGCAGATGAAACGCTGCTCTGTGCGGCTCCGGTTCCTACAGAGATTCAGGCTAACTGTAGGCCAGACTGAGAGTTGTTTTAAGGGTGTGAAAACTCATTGACATTCTCAGGCAAGACTTGGCACCGCAGTGTACGGCTTTCATGTGCGAGCGTCTATTAGTGTATTCACAAATGTGTGTTTGCAGTATGGGGCAGCAGTTGCCGTAGCAACGCAAAGTGTGTTTGAGTGGATAAATGGGTTGGCGGGCGGGAGACGGGAGGGGGGTGTTGACAATTTGACAGCCAAAAAATAATCTACAAATGATAAAAGTATGAATGGACTACACAACACACACGCACATGCACACACACATGCACAGTTTTACACTTTTCTGATCTGGATTTTTTCCTAATCTTTTAAAAGTGGTTCGAGGTCTTCTTGGCCTGTACTTCTTTGTGCTTTAACTGCAATTGATTTTATTTTATTTATTTATTTTTTTTTTACATGTGCACGAAGCAAAAAGGATTTGTATCTATAGCTCTGTGTCAGATGTTTGTGTATATGTGTGCGTATGTGTGTCTGTCTGCCGGTGATATGTATTTCAGGCCAAGAAGACAAATGGTGCTTTAGAGCTTGTGGCAGTTATCTTGCATGTGAGCTACCAGGATGTGTGTGAATGCTAGTGTGTCTCTATGTGTATTACAGTGAGAGAGAGAGAGGGTGTGTGCAATAGCAGATGCTCTCTCTGGTCTTGCAGACATGCTTCAATGCTGCTGCCATCTGGTTGGCTGAGTAGAGCTGAACGCACGATGGTGGTCGCTGTGAAATCACTGGCTGATGGGAAGGCTCAAGGCTTAAATCCACTTAAGACAGATAGCAAAGACAGAGAGAGGTAGAGGGGACATTGCAGAGGGGGGGGTCATGGGTCGTTGTGCCTTTGTCCACTTTAAAGTGCAGATGGAGAGAGTGGTGCGCTGAGAGAGTGCCGAGGGGCGATCATGCGTTGACAGGAGGAGGATGGCAGGAAGGAAAGCTAAAGGAAAAATTGAAGAGGCCGTGGCAGCTTAAAGTTTGTGAAACACTTTAAATTTGTTATAAGGGGTGCTGAATTTATCCTTTTCAACGTATGTGACTGACCTGCATTACTTTAATTGATTTAATTTAAGTACTGGATTAATTACAGTTCTTTAAATTTACAATTTACAAAGACCGGACATGTAATACGAAACCTCAGTCACATGGTTACTCTACTCTACTCACAGTCAGTGAGTTCTTTGTAATGACCATTTGCAAGAAGACGCTGCTCATAATAATATAACTGTATAAGGAATTGAGATAAAAAAAATACAGCTTTTATTCCAGTAACTCAATCAAGAAATTGATAAAGTAAATAATGATCAAATATAGATATGTTGACCTTTAATCAGAATCAGGATACTAATCTCCCAGAGAGAAACTGCTTTAGACATTAATTTGGGTCTAAAAAATAATTATAATGACATCAACAAGAATGTATTTTTGTTAACTTTGGAAACTCCCTCCAGAGCCACAGAAGACATTTTAGAGCAGTTTCCACTAGTTGAATACTGCCCCTGGTGATGACTAATCTCAACTGTGTAAAGCAGCTGGAGAGCCCCTTTAACAGTTCCCAAGGTTAGACAAACTCGTTGCAATATAAACTGTAAAGTTATTGCCCAAATTATGGATTATGTATATCCATCTCAGTTGCATCAGTTACAGTCTCTACACTTTCCTCAGTTGATATTAAACTAAAGTGATCTTTAAATAAAATTTGTATCTTTATTTACCCCTTAAGGAGAAATGAAATGTATTCCATCACTAGTACACCTGCAGACACATTGTATCTAAATGAGTGCTACAGTGCAGAAATGATACTGAGACAATGACAGGAGATTTGAGAGTAGCAGCAGTGACTGGTGCTCTTTAGAAGAGGTTATCTTTGGCCATACAGGCCGGCCTGTCTGTCTCCATCACATCAAACCATGAAAGCCCTGCCAGTGAAGCTGAGCCACAGAGGCCTGGGAACCACTGTCATTCCTTTAAACTGTGTCTTTCATCCCTCTGTTTCTCTTTTCACGTCTATAAAAAAAAGATTTTGACAGTCTCTAGACTTGCTTCAGTGTTTTCTCTCTTCCTGTCCTGACCTTCAAATCAGTCATTGTTTCACGAAACCTGTTATTCTCTCCTCCTTATGTTTTGTTTGTATTCTAACTTCTGTTCTCTTTTTTTCCTGCTACCTCCATTTTCTTTTTTTTTTGTAGTGTGTCAAGCTTAGCTGATCTAAGCTGTCTTTCTCTGTAGCCTGCATGTTAAGATTGTGAATGTTTTTGAGTTAATTCAATACTTGTGGCATTTGTGGCAGTTTTCCCCCAAAAATCTGATTGGCTTTACCAAAATTATTTAAACTGTAAGTATGACACAGATAAACAGTTTGGGCTATTTCAGCTCTGACAGAAGGAAGTTGAGTAACCAACAACAAATATACTTTTTTTTCTTTTCTTCTTTCTTTTAAGTAAACTGAGCATATTAGGACTTCAGACTCTTGGTCAGACACATTTAATGGAGAACATGTTTTTTTTGTTGTTGTGT